AATCAGTGGGGAGGGCTCTCCAAGTTGTTTTATTGTTTCCCAAACATAACCAAAAAAATTTGCTTTCAATTGAGAGGCTGGGTGAAAAGCTGCCCTAATTAAGTATATTGTTTTCAGCTTGTACCTTTTAGCAGTGAAAAAAATAGCAAGAGGAAACTGAAACCAATGGTGAATGTGTAGGAATAAAACAAACGCTACTACCCTGAAAGGAAAGTTTTTGATCTTACAAACCTAACTGCTTTTATTCTTTAGCTTCCAAAGTCCATAAAAATGCTTCTAAGCAAAATTAACTTCCAAGTCCATAAAAATGTGATTTATCATTTACAACATGACATTTATAGTATCCTTTTTTGGTCCTGGCAAGGGAAACTGAGAGAAAGGTGTGAAGACCTCCTAGTCTTTGAAGATGACTAATGATGTAGTATATTGTTACTTATATTCCTGAAATCGAAGTATGCAATTGTATTCACTCAAATCTAACTAGCAAAATACTTAAATACAATTTAACTTATAATATCAATACAAATATTTAAATGTGTTGCCTTCTATAATTAAATGAAAACACATTATCAAATAGGAACTAAAGCTTGAATTTTGTTGTAAAATTGATTCTCAGTAGTACCTAGGCAGTGTCATAGTAGGTGTCATTGTATGTGCAATTGTATATGCTTCTAAGTGCCCGGATATGAATTTTGCATTTTTATCTAACATCTTACATCCTTTTTCAAATAAGGTGATTATAAATAAATATAATAACATATATTAGTCTATTTCCAAATCATGTGCATATACATGTCCAAGTATTGTGAAAGATTTCTTTTTTTGTTAAAAACTAATACAGCTATAGACTCTATGTCTACAGTGGAGAGAATTTTAATTAAAAACAAAGCAAATGTTAATATTTATTAGAAAGCCTGCTTATTTGTCTATAATCTATAAAAATTAAGATATTTTCATCTTCACTTTGTGTCTACAAAAAGAAAGGTCCAATTTTTAAAGAAAATAATCTATAGAATGATTATGTTTTGGGACAATATAATATATACAATAAACTGAAAGCCTGTGTTCATATGGAGATATAATGGTTACCCTTTGTTCTGTGTTTTACAAAGCTGTGTGATATCTTTGGCTACTTCTAAACAAAATACTTCATACAGAAGGCTTAGCTACTAACTGTGACTACATGTGGATTCATGTTGGGAGCACTCAATTGCTGATTTTTGCAAGTTTTGTTGTGGAAGAAAAATGGAGGCTACAGAGAATGAGTGTCTTTTGCTTTAGTTTCCTAGGTAGTTAGTTATCTCAACTCTCAAGTATGCATTACCTGTATTGATACAGGCTTTATCCACTAGTGAAAGAGTAAAAGCCAGTTAATAGATTAGTTAACAAAGAAGTGTTCAAGGTTGTGCTAGGCGCTCAGAATTGTGCTAAGAGACCTGAGGTGGCCATAGGCACTAGGTATATGGCTGAGTGCTGGGAGATAGAGAAAGAACCTGAGTCATTTCTCTCAAGTGGCTTATATGGGCCAGATAAGCATATTTCCCATGAAATAATTAGGGCATTATGTAAAACAATGAGTGTAAGTCCCATGGGCCTGGGCAAGGGAATAGCAATAAGAATAGGGAGGTGTAGCTGGGATTGAAAGATTTTTGGGAACCTGGGTCCAACAGTATACTTGTTGGTTGTAGGAGACGCTTCCTAATTCAATTAAGGATTATTTCATTCTTTTTTTATCAGCAAGCAGAAGGTGCCTGGGGAGGAGATGCTATGATAATCCAACACTGCCTTGTTTATAGTGTGGTGTTAAGTAGAGTTTATATTATGTCAAACAATGTTATATATATATATATATATATATATATATATAAAACATCAGCCTAGGGACATAAAAATACAAAAAAGGAGAGAAATAAGACTAGGTACTTTAAAAAAGTATTGAATACATTTTTTTTGAAAAGGGTAGGCCAGAGAAAGTAGGATAGTTTGGTAGATTATCAAGAAATACAGATAAACTTTGAAGGCTTGTAGGAGTGAGGTCCAAAAAAGCATGTTGAAAAGGCCATCTTGTGTACTCAGCCTTTCTCAGGGATTCTGGAACATTGGGCAGAAAGAAGACTTAAAAAAAAAAATTCCCCCACACTGTCCAGAGAGAAGACACGAGATGTTGATCCCTTTTTATAAAGATGGAAAGCTGCTGAGGGTATGATGTGAAAAAGGCAATGTCCTGGCATGTAGAAAAAATTCTTCTACTCCTAACAGGAAATTCAGTAGAAAGAGTGACCAAAATGAAGAAGTAAATGCCTTTTGAAGAATTAAATAAATGGATCTTGGCTACTCTGTAAAAAACACTAGCACTTTGTAGTGCACTGATTGAGATTGTAGTGCTACTGATTATCTGTATAATAGATAAGGTCTCTAAAATTTAGAAAATTTGTGACTCTTAAAAGAGTGCTGTTAGGGAAAAGAGTAGCCAGGGATTTAATCTACTAACAGTCTAAAGAAGTCCTGGGTAGTGACAGCCTGGTCTTAAATTTGGTCAGACTATCTTATCTCTGTCTCTGATAGGGTAAGGGATTGGTAGGCAAAAGGAAATGACAGATTTTATCTATGTTGATTTTAGCAAGAATTTTGGTTTTGTCTTTCCATAATGAAATTAAAGGCAATTTGACTCTATTCATGGGTTAATTGTTTGGGACCAAAGATACAATGGACCACCTTCTTTTTACAGCCATTAACAACTGTTTATAAAAATCTGGATGTATGCAGACTTGATATGGTAAAGAGAGATAAAGCCCAGTCCTTGCCCTTTAGGGTATTTATGGAGACAGATGTAAATAAGTAACAATAGAAGGTAACATGTATTGTCTTCATTGGTTTGGTAAATAGTAAATGGTACTTGAAGAAAAGATTTTTTTTAAAGGATTAAAATAAAGACTATTATCCTTTGATATATTTAAAAAAGATGTTGTATTTTTACTAATTTTTAGAGATAAATTACTAATTTATGCTGGAAACGTGGTTGTAAGAAAAAAATGCACAGTGTAAGAGATTAAAAGAGTTAAGTATCAGAGGATATTGGGGGTGATGGTAGTACTTTCATTTTCTACTTCTCTGGAACAATTCTTCTTAGACTTTAATATGCAACTAGTCACCTGGGGTCTTGTTAAATACAAATTCTGATTCAGTAGTTGGGGTAGTACCTGAGGAGCTGCATTTATGACAAGATTACCAAGTGATGCTGGTCCTGCTGGTCTGGGAACCACACTTTGAGTAGTAGCAAGGGGCTAGACCATACTGTTTTGAGAAATCCCAGACACAGAAATCATCAATTTTCTTGTTATGGAAATCCATGTTGGTTAGGCTCTTGAATCCTTAAACCAAAGGACCTAGGAAGTTTTAAGCCAGTGATAACGGTTAATAAAAAGTTAAATGCATTGGACCATGTTATCTTATAATGGAAAGAAATTTTAAAAACATTTAAAGCCAACTTTCCAGCCAAAGTGCTGATGTACTATCACATTTCTTGATCTTGACAATGCGTATTTCTTAGTGGATTTTTAACATTTCATTATCTTTGGGATTAGCTAAATACCCATATTTTTTCCCATGTAAGTTGCCATTAACATCAGGCAGGTCCTTTTCAATCTAGATTCCTTTAACAGATTTTTCAACTATTTACCTCAATTTAAATTAATGCATTTAATCAGAATTATTTATTGAGTGTTTATGATGTAGCAGTCTGTGCTGTGCTGTGCTATACTTTATGGATACAATTCTGACAGGGCGTGTAGTATTTACCCTCAGGGAGTTTACAGTCTTTCAGGAGCTATGGGGCACAACACACACATTATAAGATAGTAGGACACAGCATAGGATGGAAACACTCATGGGAATGCTTGAGAGGCCCAAATAACCCACATCGGGGGATGCGTTAGGAAAGGTTTCCCAAAGAAACTTGTGTCCGAGACTCAAAGCATAAGAGGGAGTAAACCTGGTATAGGGGCAGGGTGGATGCAGAGGATCCAGAGGGTGCAAAGACAGAGACACTGAAGGACAGAGTTTGCAGATCTCAGGATCTAGAATTGGTGTAGTGCATTGGCGTGTGTTATCAAGTGGGCAATAGAGAGGGGAGAGATGGAGTGTCTAAAAAACTGTATTGAAGAGTTTGGGTTTTACCCTCAAAGCCATGATAGATCACTGAAGAGTTTGACAGTGGCAGCGTGCTCAGATTTGCCCTTTAGAAAGGTAACTGGTAACTGCCCTTTAGAAACCTCCCTGGTAGAAAGGTAACTTTCTACCAAGGAGGTACTGAGTCTTTTCCTCAGTCAGTACCCAAGGACAAGCCTCTCCAGCCCCATCCCTCTCCTAGTTCCTAGCTGCTGTGTGAATATACCTCCTACTCTTAATTCCTCAAATTCAGTCTAGCACCCTCTGTCACTGCAAAACCCACTTCGTGTTTGCAATCTCATCTGAACACATTTCTGCCCCTCTCCTGTAGTCTGTCTGTCATATTGATGCTTTCATTTTTTCACCTGCTGATTCCTCAGTTTGGAGATGGGGGTCAGGGATCTTCCTTGCTTTCCATTGCTGCCGCCAGATCACTCTGCAGCATCCTTATCTGAAAGCTCCTGCTCCACTGAGGTCCATGGTGCTCAGCTGTATATGTCACCCTTCCTCTTCATTGCTGTCATCTGCAACCTCCTAGCTCTTCCTCCTTCATCAAAGATGTGGGCAGCTGGCTCTTGGTCTTTCCACACATTCCACCTTCCAACAGGCTTCAGAGTTCTAGTGGCATGTGCCCTTCTCACCTCTAATGGTCCCTTATTTCTCCCATTTCAGCAGCCCATTGCCACATGCCCTGGACCCTGTCTTCACCCCACACTGCTCTTACTCCAAAATTACTGATTGAAATTGCTAATTCAACAGCTCCAAAATTACTAATTAAAATTACTAATTCAGAATGCTCACACTCTGATTGATCATAGCTCTTATCTTTCCAGTTTGCTTATGAAACTACCTCCACGCCTGTAAAACTCAAGGCATGAAAGAACAGAGATTGTGTACTTCCTACAGTCTGGCTTCTTCCCAAAGAGAAGAGACACAGGTATGGGCAAAGCATGCTTATCCGTTCTCCTCAAATTTACCAGCCCTGGGGAAAAAGCCCCAGAGTGTCACTCTAGAGGTTCTTTCCCATGAAATGTGTAGTACCCTCAGCCATCTGCCCAATTTCCTGGCTTCATCATTTTGATTTTATTATTAAGCCTTTGATCATCCAGGGACTGGCCTTGAGTAAGGGCAGCTGTCCCAAACCTACCAGGGACTGCTGATATGCAATGTAAAATTCCCTCCCCCAGACATTTCTTAAACAGGTTAAAATGGACAATAATTAAAATATCCAAAGGCTGAAAGTTCAGTTCATACTCTATTTCACATCCCAAATTATGTCCAGGTACATCTATCCAGTATAGAGGTTCTACAATAAGATTAAATTCCCACATAAGGATACTCCAATTATAAAGGGCAACCAACATAGAGATGCCTCACATTTGAATAAAAATCCCCTTCATTAGTAATCTCTTAGGAAGAAATCCAAGTCCAAAGATGAAATTCCCTGATAAGTTAGAATTGACAGAGGTTAAAGTACAAAGGAATTAAATCCAAAATCCATCCTCTCCAGTTTCTCATTCTGTTCAGATTCAACCCAAGGGTTTCTCTGTCCTTCAGAAGCCAAAGTCTTCATGGCCTCAGAAGTTGTATTAATTCACCACAAAGGCTCTCATATATCAGTCTTTTTCACAATAAAGAGTCCAAAGAATTAATAGGATTTACAAGATTGTCACAGCAATAGCCAATGCCCATGAAATTTATAAAATAAGCAAATCCTTAGCCCTAGGGCAGTTATTTCAAGCAAAACAAAGTTCCCAGAATTCAGGACCCAGATTTACCAAAGGCCATTGCAGAGATTTAGTGAAAAATTCTTCTTGTTTTCAGTTATGCTAGGATTCCTGTCTTTTGATGCCAACTATTATTTTATGACCATAAAATAAGCTTGATTGAGAGAAAATTTCAGTTAAGAGGTAAAATGATTGATTTTCATATATTGAACCAACTTCACATACCTTGTATAAATTCCATTTGGTCATGGTTCGTAATCATTTTTCTATATTGCTAGACTTTGTTGCTAGTTTTTGTTGAGTATTTTTGTATCAATATTTATGAGGGGTTTGGTCTGCTTTCTTGTGATACCTTTGTCTAGTTTTGGTATCAGGTAATACTAGTTTCATAGAACAATTTGTAAAGTTCCCTCCTCTTCTATTTTTGGGGAAAGTTTGTGACAAAATGTGCTAATCTTTAAACATTTGGTAGAATTTGCCATTGATGTTATATGGTCTTTTCTTTGTGGAAAGTTTTTCAATTTCCAGTTCAATCAAAATAATATATCATATTAATAGAATAAAAGATAAAAGCAGCATGATTATCTCACTAGATACATAAAAAGTATTTGACAAAATCGAACACCCTTTTATGATAAAACACTCAGCAAACTAGGAATAGAAGGGAACTTTCTAAGCCTTCAAAAAGCTCACAGCTAATATCATACATAATGGTGACGGACTGAAAGCTTTCGTCCCAAGATCAGAAACAAGAAACAAGATGAGAAAGAAGGAAAAAGTGTCTGCTTTTGTCACTGCTATTCAACAGCATACTGGAGGTTGTATCCAGGGCAATTAGGCAAGAAAAAGAAATAAAAGGAGTCTAGATTTGAAAGGAAGAAGTAAATCTATCTCTACTTGCAGATGACATCATCCTAAGGATCCAGACACAAAAAAAATAAACTATTAGAGCTAATAAGTGAGTTTGGCAAGGTTACAGGATACAAACTCAATATACAAAACTTAATTCTATTTTTGTACCTTAGCAATGAACAGTCCAAAAAGGTGTCCCGGCCCGCAGGACCTTTTGTTACTCGTGGGGTCAAGGGGGACCGTGCCTGAAAGAGATGGGCGAGAGAAAGGAACGAGACCAAGCAAAGGGTTGTCAAGGTCTACTTTACTTGGATTCTTTGTAAGTTTTATAAGCATACAGAAACAAGGAAGTAGAAACAGAAAAATAGAGTGGGGTGACGATGAGGCTTGGGTCTGGGTTAATCAGCCCCAATCAGCGTCTTATCGGTATCAAAGCTGTTTGTGACCGGTTACTCATCCCCAACCTGGCAGGTGGTCGGGAACAATTGCAGTTAGCACATCCTGGAGAATTCCATGGTCAGCACGTCATGGTATGCATTCTTCTTGGAGCTATAGCTGGAATTTTCCAGGGCGAAGCCCGTGCATAGGACGAGTCATAGGGGAGTTGAGGGTCTTTGAGGGTCCTTGCCTCTAACATCTCCCCCTCTCTTTATTAATATGAGGGAGATTTATATAGGTGGGTGGAGAGCCTGTCTTAGGCTATGCGATGGCCTTCCGCGACCAGCACCCCAAATATAAGATTGGGCGATTAACGTGAAGGTGAGGCCTCTGTCTTAGGCTATGTAGGTGGCATCCAGCTCCGGCACTTTTGATTATGAAGTGTGCCCCCGGGCATGGACCTACAATATTCCTGTCATGGAGTCACCTCACCGTCGGTGGGGTGTGCATCTGGTATACGGCATCGCGATAATCCCGTCATGGGCGTCTCCACAGCTTTTGGAACCAACTGCGTTCCATGTCTGAGGCAAGGTTTGAGAAATTTAGACCCTCAGTTGGGTGTATTGGGAGACTCTTCACGGAGGTCTTCTCTGGAGCCTCTTTGTTCTAGCTATTGGTAAAACATGGAGACCGATTTTTGTGTGGCTGCATCTACCTGTGACTTGACAAAATTAGTTAGTTTTTTGAATGCCCAAGGCCCAAAGGTGAGGAGCAACAGAAAACTTACAAGTGGCCCTAAGACACTGGGAAGCAATGTGGATAGCCAGGGGGATGTGGAAAACCAATTTTGATACCATGCTTCACTCTGTTCTCTCCATTTTTTCTTATCCTCTAGGCTTTGTCTGACTCTTTCAATGCTATCTTCTACTAGACCTGTTTTGTCTGCGTAGAAGGAACATTCTTCTTTAAGTACTGTGCACAAACCTCCTTCTTGGAGGAACACTAAGTCTAGGCCTCTTCTATTTTGCAACACTACCTCAGAAAGCGAAGCGAGGGATTCTTTGAGATATTTTAGGCCCTGCTGTAGCTCTCAGAGATCATTATCGATGGCAGCAGAGAGCTGCAGGTATTGCTGGTTGGAGGTGACTAGAGAGGCTTTGCCTGTTCCAGCCCCTGTGGCACCAAGGCCTAGAACAACTGCGAGTGTTATGGCCGTGATGGGCTCTCTCTTTTTTCGGCGCATTGTGGTGCCGCGCTCCCAAAATTTGAGCAATTCGTCAGCAGGATGTATAGTGAGTCTGGGGAAGAGCATGACTAACACACAATATTCTCTATGCTCAAGAAACGTTGCAGTGACTACATACGGGGTGAGGCCGGAAGAATAAGCAAAATAAGAGGTGTTAGATGCCTGAATATACTGAAAGGTGGAGTCGACAGTAATTGACTGATTGCATACTTTCTTTAAGGGTGCAGGGGGAAGCATTCTTGGGCTAAGAAGGCAAAGGCCTAGGCCTGTGACTTGGCTGAGTGTCAGGCCATCATGGGTCTCTAGGCTCTATCTGAGTTTGCTGGTGTCCGATAGAGGAACTGAATTAATTTATCAGGGGGGTAATGATTATCTAGTTTGCCCTGGAAAGATGTACAGTTAACCACCCAGTCATCATCATTTTGTATTAGCCACCGAATTTGAGAAGCATTGTAAGGGAGTATTATGATATCTGGATCCTTTCCAAAGAGCTTAAGGGAGTTTTCTCTCCCCAAGCGAATAATTTTAGCTACTAAGTAAGGGTAGGTGGGAAGGACTTTAGGGGGGGAAGCCGATAGGTGAACCCAAAAAAGGGGCTTGCCCCGCCAAAAGAGTCCTGTGGGCGAAAAGGGGGTAGGGAGGACAATGAAGTACAAGGGGGAGTCGGGGGAGAAGTAGCCAATGGCCTGGGCGTTTATGGCCTGCTCGACCAAATTAAGCGCTTGCTGCCCTTCTTTAGTTAGGGAGCGTGGAGAGGTTGGATTGGCATCTCCCTGCAGGATGTCAAATAGGGGTTTTAACTGTCCTGTGGTGAGTCTTAAATATGGGCGAAGCCAATTAATGTCACCTAGAAGGCGCTGAAAATCATTAAGGCATTGAAGAGAGTCTTTTCTGATTTGCACCTTTTGGGAGAGGACCTTATTGGGGAACAATTCAAAGCCTAGGAACAGGTGAGGGGGGCAGACCTGAATCTTTTCAGGGGACAGGTGGAGGCCTCGAGCTTGTAAGGCTGAGACAACCTGTATGGTAACTTGATGTAAGGTTGCCTCATCGGTCCCAGCCAGAAGAATGTCATCCATATAATGAATTATATATAGCTGAGGATGTTGAATTCTAAAAGAATCAATTGTCTGAGCTACATATTTTTGGCAAAGGGTAGGGCTGTTGGCCATGCCTTGAGGCAATACTCGCCATTGGAAGCGCAGAGAGGGTCCTATACGGTTTACTACCGGGAGACTGAACGTGAAGCATTTGCAGTCATCTGGGTGCAATGGTATGGAGAAAAAGCAATCTTTTAGGTCAATGACTATCTTATAGTAGCCTTTGGGGATAACTACGGGCGAAGGCAAACCAGGCTGGAGTGCCCCCATGGGAACCATTGTTTGGTTAACAGCCTGTAAGTCTTGTAGCAGCCGCCATTTGCCAGTCTTTTTTTTAATGACGAAAATGGGGGTGTTCCATGGTGAAGTAGAGGGCTCTATGTGTCCGGCAGCTAATTGTTCCTGCACCAATGCTGTAGCTGCGGCTAGCTTGTTAGATGGGAGGGGCCACTGATTGATCCAGACAGGTGAGTCACTTTTCCAAGTGATTTTATCTGCCTGAAGTGCAGGGGGATCAATGGCCCTTACGAAAAATGGTCTTTGAACCCTAGTCCTGATCTGTCTGACTTAGGGAGGGTGGTTAGGGTGCTCTTAGTCCCTGACCCTCTTTGCCTAAACCCTGTCCTGGGAGGAA